AAAAATGAGGTTTGTTTGAAAGTAAATTTTTTATTTTTTTCTCAAAAGTGAGTTTTGGCAGATTCAATCCTTTTATGGAACAACTGCTTTCAGATTTCAAGCATTTCCATTATATGTTATTTTATTTCTCTTCTTTCTTTGCTTTGCATATCATTCATATGAATCTTTCTTTTTTACAAAAGTTGGTGCTGCAAGAAACATCCCCGAACAGAGGAAGAGGTATCTCTGGGTGGAGATGATGATCGTCACAGCATAAGCATAGTTCCTTATCTCCGGTCAAATTACTATGACTCCGAGTCAGAAGAGGAACTTTTCACGGAACACCAGCTCAATGGTAAGGTCTGCCGATTGTTCTTGAATCTGGTGGTCTGCCAGATTACGTAAAGATAGTTTAAAGATAATTAAAATAAATTTAGCCGTGTTAATGTTTTTGTTAGAAGATGGGCAGAATGACGGAGTTTAAGAGATTTGCTGCCCCCAAGTGGAGATTTCATGAGGATGGTATAATTGACATCAAAGTTTTGAAATTATTAAACCATAGTGCTTATCAGATAGTAACAATAAATCTTATTTAGTATCATATATAACTATTTAATATTCTATACTGAATGATTTCTAGAAATGTTAACACTGTATATGATATATGTTGTTGTTGTTGTTTTTTTTGGGGGGAGGTAAAGTACATGTCAGTATATTCAGAATCAGTTGAAGGTGTCATTTTCCGTCATATATAGTCCTATAGGTCCCTACCAGGTTTATTAGGACAGTGCATATACCTTATTGTTGAAAATATAAACCATGATAACATTGACCTTAGTGGCACCTCTTTTTGCTTAACAGAATCAAGAAACCAAGCAGAATGCAAGTCAGAAATGTCAGGCACAGATCTTCAAGAAACACGTGGGGCTCACACAAAGCGAAGAAGACGTAAACCTACCTCATGTATTAGTGTCAAATCCATTACCTCCTGCAAACAGTCTTGACACTGCACATGCATACCCTATTGATGTTGGTACTGGCTGAGCTTCTGCCTGAGGCTTAGGGTATAAAGCTTAGGAGGAGGAACTTCATATATGGCCTTGTATATCGTGCACGAACATCATCGATCTGAGTACATTTGTTTCTCCTCAGACTTTCATCACCTTCATTATCATTTTTGTGAAACTTCACTCCTTTGTCATGATCATGATGCAAATACTTGAAGAAAAGGAATCCAGTATTGGTTTCTCTGTATGTTGTAAAAGGTCATATAATAAAAGAGTGATCCCAGTACAGTCTGGGAGTGTGTGTGTGTGATTTTGCATGTGTAAGCATGCATGAGTGTAAGTGAGTTTTTGTGAGTGAAAAGATATGTGGATAAAAAAGTGTTCAGCTTATGCCAGGTTACATATATACCTTAGAAAGGTTGATTCAGGTGCAGAGTGGGACCAGGACTGTGACAGATGATGTCAAATGAGTAATTATTGAGGATTAAGGTCTGGGATTCGGTTTTTAGGTTTGTAATAGGTGTGCCCACCAGAAGTTGTAGGGAAAGACTTTCTCTCTCTGTATATCTTTATCATCTATTCTCTCTTCCCCCCTCTTAACCCCTCTCTCCCCCTCCTCTCTCTCTCTCTCTCTCTCTCTCTCTCTCTCTCTCTCTCTCTCTCTCTCTCTCTCTCTCTCTCTCTCTCTCTCTCTCTCTCTCTCTCTCTCTCTCTCTCTCTCTCTCTCTCTCTCTCATGTTTTCTCTCACATTTTCTCTCTCCCTCACTCATCTCATTTTCACTCTCACTCATATTTTCTCATTTTTCTCATATTTTTCTCTCTCTCTCTCTCTCTCTCTCTCTCTCTCTCTCTCTTCTCTCTCTCTCTCTCTCTCTCTCTCTCTCTCTCTCTCTCTCTCTCTCTCTCTCTCTCTCTCCCCTCTCCCTCTCTCCCCTCTCTCCCTCTCTCTCCCTCTCCTCTCTCCTCCCTCCCTCCCTCCCTCCCTCCCTCCCTCCCTCCCTCCCCCCTCCCTCTCTCTCTCTCTCTCTCTCTCTCTCTCTCTCTCTCTCTCTCTCTCTCTCTCTCTCTCTCTCTCTCTCTCTCTCTCTCTCTCTCTCTCTCTGTTTTCTCTCACATTTTCTCTTTCCCTCACTCATCTCATTTTCACTCTCACTCATATTTTCTCATTTTTCTCATATATTTCCTCTCTCTCTCTCTCTCTCTCTCTCTCTCTCTCTCTCTCTCTCTCTCTCTCTCTCTCTCTCTCTCTCTCTCTCTCTCTCTCTCTCTCTCTCTCTCTCTCTCTCTCTCTCTCTCTCTCTCTCTCTCTCCTCTCTCTCTCTCTCTCTCTTTCTCTCTCTCTCCTTTCTCTCTCTCTCTCTCTCTCTCTCTTCTCCTCTCTCTCTCTCTCTCTCTCTCTCTCTCTCTCTCTCTCTCTCTCTCTCTCTCTCTCTCTCTCTCTCTCTCTCTCTCTCTCTCTCTCTCTCCTCCCTCCCTCTCCCTCCCTCCCTCCCTCCTCCTCCCTCCCTCCCTC